CCTTTAACTGGTACATCTTATTACTAGCCCATGGCATTAAATAAGATAATATATGTAATCCCAGTGTCTTTCATGGAATACATGCTCAATAAATGGTAATTATTACAAATTAATGATAAAACAACACTACTAACAGTTGCTTCATTTGGTTAAACTTTAACTTCTTTTATTTAATATGTAAACAATTCTGGAAATGTTTAAATTATAATAGGAGTAAGTTGATTTAGTATATCAATTTTCTTGAAACTTTGGAAGCCTTGGATAGGGAAAAATTCTATTAAATAAAAATAGGATGTAGTTGTCTTCACAAATTTGGCCAGGGATGTTAATAGTGCAAAAGTTAATTTTGAATTTTCAGCTTTAAAATAGTAACAATCTATATGTTTTCTAAAATATTTAAGGGTTTTTTGAATAAGAACTCAAAAGCACAGGCAACAAAAGCAAAACTAGGCAAATGAGATTGCATCAAACTAAAAAGTTTCTGCACAACAAAAATAACTAAAAATTAACAGAGTTAAAAGACAATCTACCAAATGGGAATAAATATTTGAAAACTCTGCATCTAACAAGGAGTTAATATCCAGAGTATATAAGGAACTAAAACAACTCAATAGCAAGACAATAATTAAATTTAAAAATAAGCAAAAGACCCAAAGACCTGAATAGATATTTCTTAAAAGAAGACATACAAATGGCCAACAGGTGTATGAAAAAATGCTCAGCAATGCTAATCATCAAGGAAATATAAATCAAAACTAAAATCAGATATCACCTCACCCTAATTAGAATGGTTATTATCGAAAAGACAAAAAGTAGCAAATGGATGTAGCAAATGTGGATGTAGAGAGATGAGGGCCCTTATATGCTGTTGGTGGGAATGTAAATTAGTGTAGCCATTATGGAAAACAGTATGGAGGCTCCTCAAAATATTAAAAGTAAGCAATGCCACTACTGGGTTTTTATCCAAAGGAAATGAAATAAGATATGTCGAAGAGGTGTCTGTACTCCCATGTTTATTGCAGCACTAGTCACAATAGCTAAGCTAAGGAATCAACCTAAATGTCCATCAACAGGTGAATAAATAAAGAAAATGTGGTATACATGTACAATGAAATACTATTCAGCCATAAAAAATGAAATCCCGCTATTTGCAGCAACATGGATGAACCTGGGGGATATTATGTTAAGTGAAATAAGACAAATACCACATGAAAGACAAATACCACATGAAAGACAAATAATATAACATGATCTACTCATCTGTGGAATCTAAAAATCTCTCAGATGTAGAGGGTAGAACAGTGGTTACCAGAGGCTGGGGAGGGGAGAAGGGAAACAGGGGTGGGAAGGGATTTGTCAATGTTTACAAAATTGTAGTTAGATAGGAGGAGTAAGTTCTGGTGTTCTATTGTACAGTAGGGCAATTATGGTTAACAATATTATATTGTATATTGCAAAATAACTAGAAGAGAGGATATGGAATGTTCTCACAACAAAGAAATGATAAATGTTTGAGGTGATGGATATGCTAAATACCTTGATTTGATCATTATGCAATGTACACATGTATGGAAACATACACTGTACCCCATAAATTTATGTGTCAGTTATTTTGTGTCAATTACAAATAAAATAAAACTATAAATGTGTGTATATATATGTGTGTGTGTGTATGTGTGTGTGTATATATTTGGCCCATTTGTGGCAGACAGTCACATGCTTGTAAAAGGGACTAGAATAAAAGTTTAATGACAGAGTTCCAGCTAGAACCATGAGTACCAAAGCCAGCTAGGTAGACTGGTTCTCTATATCCTTCCCTGATCAGGAAGTTGAGGTCTATTGATGTCCAGCATCCATTTTTATTGCCTTTGATGACCCAGGGGCTGGCAAAAATAGTGCATCATCATTACTACAAAGACATTGATATTCTTCCCTTAGAAACATCTAGAGTCTGACATATATTCTTAGAAATAGCTGTTATCATCCTTCGAGCATGTCTGATTCAGAGGAATGATCAAATGTCTCTTTAAACTGAATTTTATGACTAAGATGTCAAACTGGAGGTCTACACTTCCTTGAATGATAAGTGTTGTCATGTTTGTTTTAAAACCACCGATCTTCCAATGGTCCCACCCAGTTCTAGGCCTTAACACTCAAAGTGGCTTAGTTCTAGGTTTCTCACTTCCTTTCCAAAACATGAAGACTGAAACATATCCAGCTTATTGCTGGATATGCGCTGGCTCGCACATCTACGTTGCCAGATCTGAGAAGATACCCTCTTAGAGGAAAGTCCCTTCATTTCCCTACGGTTCTCTCAAGTTCCACTTCTTCTCTCCCACTCGCATTCCCTCAGATCTTCAATTTAGAAGAAAGAATTTTGACTCTTTCTTGGTTTTGTCCTAAAAGAAGCTGCCAAGTGAGAGACAATGAAAATTTTCAATAATTGTTTCTAAAAAAGTAAATTCTTTTGATATGTTTTCACCATGCAGGATTCAAGAGCATGCTGTATCAACATAGAAGCTACGAAAAACAGAACTAGGAAGAAGGCTGCAGGTATTCCAAGTAATTTTCTCCTCTGGGATGTTAAACCAGAGTGGTTTTATAAAATACAAAGGAAACAAGAAAATGGACATGCTGGTGTACTGAGGAACAAAATAAATATTTTATTAAATTAATGCAGGTATAAAAAGTGACAATCAAATGTGGAGTTAGATATCATCTCTGCCTATGTCATTTACAATGAAACACAAGACAAAGGGATAAAGTGCTTTACAAATATACCACCACAAGAAGGTCTAGGAATGGAGTGAGTGTCCTTGCTCAGCCAGAATCCTTACTTGTACCTCACACAAAGGACAGTGTCATACAAAGTATTGTGCAAATGAACACATACAGATAGATGACAGAAGGAGTTCTGTTGCAGATTCTGTTTCTTCAGACTTGACCATGGCAAAACAAAGGCTTTCCTTTTCATTAATCCCAGTAAATAGCCAAGACGGAGGGAAAACTCCTGGACCTCCTGAGAAGCATCTGATTCTCACAGCCTGTGGAAAGCAACTGCTTGGGAGGTAGTGACGAGAGCTCATGGCATTCAAAAGTTCAAGCACAGCTAATGAGCCTTTTCTGGCACAGATGAGGGTCTAGGGCAGCCAACGGTCAAGGTACGCTGCTGGAATTTCCAGAAAGAACATGTAATTTTGCAAATAAGCATCAAAATGTAGTTTATACCCAAGAGAAAATGACATAAAAAGTTCCAGACATGATTCTGTCATAGAGAGTTAACAATAAAGTTGCCCTTTAGGTTCACTAGGTTGACTCAGTATACTGTCGAGAACCCATGGGTCTCCTTTGACCAAACATAAAACAAACCAATTCCGAATTTAGTCACAAAGCAAGTACTCAACAAATGCTGGTTGTCTAAACACATATGTAGTACATATTTAGCAGGTACCAAATCATACGAAAGATCCTGAAAGGTTATGGGAAAGATGACCTAGAAACAAAATAGACACGGTTCCTGACCACTTAGAACTTCAAATTTGCTCAAGCTGCTACATAAGAAATAATATATTGAATAAAAATAGCAAATTGCACAGCAGATGCATAATGTTATCACTCAGGAAAAAAATTTTTAAAAACATAACCAAGGGCAACACACGTAACCTAAACGTATGTACACCCATAATTTGCTGAAATAAAAAAAAAAAAAAAAAATTATGGTATTTTCCTATATTTGGTGAGGTCTAGTATTATGAGGTTTTTTAAAATGTATAATTTGTTGGGTTTTTTTATTCTAAATAAATATTCTTTTTTGTACCTCCAAAAAAAAAAAAAAAAACATGTACTTTTAACATGTATTTCCGTATACAGACTATCTTTAGAAGAATACATGTACAAAAGTCAACAGTGGTTGCTTCTAGAAAGGGAACCTAGAAGGCTAGGAGGGTGGAATGAAGATTTTTGTTTTTTAAACTGTCTCCTATTGAAATTGTTTGAATTTTGAATCATGGAAGGGTATGGATTCAAAATTCAGTAGCACTTAAATAGAAAAAAAAGAACTGTTAAACAATACCAGACAGTATACACACAAGCATCAGATTGTATGGTGAAGGCAAATAAATCAGGGACAAATATAATGCTAGAAAAGGAATTCAAGAGGTATTTCCCACACTTCTTTAAAATACTGGCTTCTCCTTGTAAACGAAAATTGTTTTGATTATTAAAATGTTTCAGTATGTCCAACTGTCCCAGAACACATTGACTGGCCTACTCCTCCTCATGGCAACATTGCTAGACTTTCTCTTTCACGCCATCATTCTCCTCCAACACCTTATGCTATGACATGGCGCTAAATTGTAATCATGAATTTTCTTACCAAGCTCCTTGAGGGCAGGTACTTTGTCTTGCTTACATCTGTAGACTCAATACCTGGCAGTGATTGATATTGCAAGGCCACTTAATAAATAGCTTTTGAATAAATTAATTGCTTAAAGTAAAATTGCTGTAAATTACATTCTAAGAGGACAATGGGTAACCATTGTGGAAATCTGAGTTCTGCTATTTACTGATTTGGGCAAGTTATTTAATCTCTCTGTTTCCTGGGCTGTAAAAATAGTGTAAAAATAGTGGTTATCACAACAGGGTTGTTACAGGCATGAAATGAGACTATGGGTGTAGGTTTCCACGTAATTGTAAAGCTGATATTTAAATGAAACAGACACTGCAACAGACACTTGCGGTCCGAGAATAAGATTATTCAAGTCAACCAAAGTACCAGGGGGTTAAATAAAGTAAGATCCTATACAAACCAATGGTTTGTTCTCTGTGCTTCCAATTGTACTTATGGTTACAGGAGGGTACCAAGCACCTTATAAATACTTTATGGTTTACTGAATGCAAGCAAGTTGTTAAGCAACAAGCCTAGTTTTAAATTTTAACATCTACTACAATATGTCTTCAAAGGAAATCATTCACAAACACCCTCCCATCACAAGATTCCATAGACTCAAAATAAATAGAAACAATAAATACTGTCGCAACACTGGGACCCTCAGTCATACGAAAGACAAGTTGAGGAATTGAGTGCAGCAAAGGGCACGTCTGCAGGAACTGACCATCACATCAGGGATTGTTAGCTCGTTTTCCTAGGGTGAGCCATGGATGATTTGCTTGGAGGCTCCTCATTCAGAAGTGCCTTTTCTCCCTTGCACGTGCGTGATGAGTCTCTCAGTCATTTTGAAGTACTGAGGTCTCTTTCCAGGCTCCCCTTTCCACTCCACCTTTCTTTGTTCTTCTCTTCTTTCCCCAGGTTCCCATTTTCAGTGTTTGAGCCTTTTCAGTCCTACATCGTCTACTTCCCACCGGCCCATTCATTCCTCTGGTTGTGTGCAGCCCCGAGGAACTCCCAAACCACAGGCTGAGAATCCCTGCTTGAAGATCGCAAGTTTCGACGCTGGCTTACGTCTCCTCAAATTGTGTATCTGGAGAGTGATAACAGTACATTAATTTTATGAGGAGGGGTCTGGGAAAAAAATAACAATAAAGTCCAATGAGAAACATAACTCATATTTGCTAGATGATATAATAAATTTGAAATAAGAGAAAGAGCCAGATTGTATTTATGCTCAATAACCCCTACATGATAAAGGATGACTAGTTTTCCTGGGACTGTCCTAGTTTTAAAAGTGAAAGTCTGACATCCTGAGAAACCCCTCTGTCCTGAGCAAATTGGATGGTTGGTGCCCTAGGATGACCCAAACAACACTTGTTAATTAGCTTTACCACACAAATGAATGCCACGGATCACATAATGAAACCTGGTTGAGCTTGTGCAAGTTAATTACACTACTTTAAACTTGGGCCCATTGCTCAGTTTGTTTTCTAACTACATTAGTAAGAATAAAAACCTTAATATAATTTTCACCTTAGTTCAGTAAGCTGGATGTGGTTTTTCTGCTCTTTTATAAATGTAGACATTTGTAGTAAAATGGATTGAAGCTGATGGGTTAAGAGTAAGTGGCCATGGTTAGGCAAGTCACCTCCAAGCTTGATTTTTGTCATCAGTTGTGTGTTCTTGGGCACTTTACATTATTTTCTCTACTGTAAGATGGGAATAATTCTAGTATTTATCTCTTTGATTTTTTTTTTTTTTTTTTGGCGGCAGGGTTGGTGGTCGGGGGGATTAAATGAGATACTCTACATGAAGCAGTTAACACAGTGCCTGACGTGGGATTTTAGAATGAATGAATGAGTGATCCATCCACCTAAGTCAACCCAGTCCCCTGTTGCAGGGAGATGCTGGAATGCAGGGCAAGAGAAGCTGCTTCCTCCCCCTTCCTCTCTCCTCTCCTCTTGCCACAGAGCTGCTCCCCACTCTCTACTTTTGATGGCTGTTCCTACATCTCCCCAGACTGTGGGAAGAGTTCTAACATTAGAGTCGTGAGGCAAATAGCAGCCCCAGTCCCTACCACCAGCATTCTTTAAAAGGTGGGGAGATTATCATTGATCGAGTTTTCCTTTTTATTGCTTCAGCTTTTGTTTCCTTCTTTTTTTCAACTTCCCAGTCCCTTCTGATATTCTTACCATTTTGCTGCTTTGGGTTTGTATCTCGGATGCCACATTTTTCCACATCCATTATTCTCACTTGAGAAAAAGAAATCATTTTTATTTTCATATAGCACAACCCTACATTCCATATAGTGACTCAAGTTTACATCGCATGTTCCTATAAAACATTTTTAATCCCCTAGGAAGTCTGGTAGACTTCCTTATTACACAGGTCCCAATCCCTGAGGATAATGATTAATAATTCAATAGTTTAGGGCCACATGCTTTTTTTATTCCTAGATTTTCTTGAGGAGTATATACTTTTATTTTCCAACTTTCTCTCAGAGATGGACCATATTCTGAGGTACTTTATTATCTATTGGCTTTGTAGATATTCCTAATGCCAACTAATTTTTTTTTCCAGGGAAATATTCAAAATGCAAGTTGACAATAATCATGTCCTTGGGCAACTCAATTCCATCTCAGAATCTTACTGTCATTGAAAACTGATCCTTATATTAATATTTTGCCTAACTAAGTTCTTTTAAGGACCTATTCTTTGTAAACAGCTGATCTCTACTCCCTCAGTTACACCACTTTGCCAGACACATCCGCCTTCATAAAATGTTGTGGGGAATTTCTCAATGACTACTGGAATTCCCTTCCATATTCTGCTTTCCTGTTTGTCATAAGACAACTCTGTAGGCAGGCCATCCTTGGTATATTTCTGAAAGTACTGGGGGAAATGTTCACTTCAAATCATCTTAAATGGGAGGAAATTATTTGAATATGTTCATTTTCCTGGCTTTTAATTGTTCCCATGGGTAAATTGAGAAATAAACACATGCAAATTATTTCAAAATCTACATAACATCCCCCACCGGAAATCCTGCAGAATACTCTATGGTAAAAATACCACGGTTCTACAGAAGGAACTGTTTCTATTACTTGGAGCTCTCATAAACCAGCTCAATAGAACAGTGCAACTAAAGCAAGACTAAAATTCAACTGAAATTAACAGGCATTTTAGCTCTTTCTCTTCTGTAAGTCTGTGATTATTTGCATGATGGAAAGAAACTGTATGACATTGAGTCTTCTTCAACCTCCTTCACCACTCATTCTCCCATCCCTCACTTCTGTACACCTGATTTTCACCCTGCAATCCCACTCAGCTTTACTATAACTGCTATTGAACAATGGAATGCCTTTGTGCCAACTTGCAAAGGTAAGTCGGGTTTCCTTGAATCCATGATCCAACTCACCCCCGCATTTCCCCCGGTAACTTCTATTACAAGTGTTCATTGCTGTCCTCCAATCTAGGTGATGCTGGAGAACAGTAAAATTAGCAGGACCCAAGGAAGAGGTGCCACACCATGGCATGGCTGAAACCCACTTTGCATAATTGAAACTTGGCACTGGGAGGGAAGGCTAACAGGAGGGCAGCGTATTATAAATCAGTGTTTCCCAGCACGGGCACCGCTAGCAGTTTGGGTAGGACAGTTCCCTGGTATGTGGGACTGTCCTGCAGATTGCAGAATATTTAGCATCCTTAGCCCTGCCTACTGAGTGCCATTGTGACAACAATAACATCTTCTTACACTTCCTCTCATCCCCAGTGGAGACCATTGCAATAAAGGAAACACCTTGTTTTCTTAAACAGAAGAGGATTGTCAGCGCTACACCAAGGAACAATGGAACGGCTCCCAGAATCACCAAGTGAGTCCTCTCATCTTGGGGAAGTACTGTAGGTGGTTCTGAAAAACAAAACAAAAAGAAAGTGACTAAAGATAAAATTTTGATGGGAAGAGGTCAAGGGAATAATCATCCTTGAAATATAATTTAGTTTAGCTTTAGGTTAATTTTCTTAAATACCAAAGTTCCTGGCCAGTGAGTGGCTGGAATAGTGAGATACCTCTGATAAGAAAGTGGGGGCAGCATGGAGAAGTGGAAGAAGCCCAGGCTTTGGACAGATGGGCCTGGGGTTAAATTCTGCTCCCATTGACCAGTTTGGAGATCTTGGGCAAGTCCTTTAACCAGCCTAAAAAACGGAAATGCTAACAAATTTCTTGTAAGGCTAATGTTTGTAAAGTGCTTAGCATGGGACCACAGGGAATGGCTGTTCAATACTAAATGGGGGCCTTGATTACTTCCCTTCCTCTTGCATTCTTTAATACAGAAGCTAGCAGCCCACTGTACATGGCAAAGGTGGCCCAGAGCGGAATATGGAAGGCCAATCAGCACTGCTGAGGAGCTCCTGCCTCCTCATATCTGAGGTTATGACTGGGGACCAGTGCTTGTTCTCTTATCTTTCTCTGAAGTTTGAACACCTCTGGACATCGAGTCATTGGTGCCTCTCACTAGTCTCATTGTCTGTGGTCCGATGCAGGAGGAAAAGGGCTCCTGTGCCACATGGATGCTTAGACTGCCGAACCCCACCTCTCTCCATTAGTCAGTTCCTGCTTGGCTCAACTGTGAACTGAGACCCATGATCCCTAACTACCTGGTTCAAGCTTTAAAGCCACAATGACAGCCAGCATTTGACTAGTATTAACAGCTTACAGTTCCCAAAGCCTGTTGATATATATTTTATATGAGTCTCAACTCAATTTTATGAGTTAGGTGTACCAGGTACTAAAAATACAACCCCAAGTTACAGATGAGGACACAGACTAGGGGAGCAGTCAAGTGAGTTACTCTGGGATGCCCCACAAATTAGTTGTCATAACACAGCTTTTAAACAGCAGGAATCCACTAATACAGCTCTTACTGAAGGACAGTTCAGGACCTGAGGTCTCATACCCCAGTGAAAGCATCTTCTTAAACTTTTGTCTAAACTTTTGTTTTTCTCTTTTTGTTTGCAAGACCATCCTGGCTTGTCTTTTCCTATTGGTTGACTTTTCTATCCAGTTATTTCAGTTATTTTCTCTGAAGTACCTGGAGTTTTCCTGTCAACATCTACTGGGGGAAGGAGCAGCGAGAAGTGCTTCTCAGGACATCTCTGGGTTTGTATTAAACGTCATGCCCACCCACCTCACCTTCTCTAATGGTCTCTCATCATACTCTGTTTTCCACCCCACCTACTTCTGTAGGGTAGTGAGATTAAAAAAAAAATAGTTGACTTTGTGCAGGCAAGAGTCTCAAACGATTTTCATATACTATTGCTTATTTTATTCCTACAATAACTTTGTAGGTTATAACCCTACAGGGAAAGTGAAGCACAAAGCAGTCTAATGATGTGCCCAGAGAAACACAGCCTCATGTCCTAGGCACCAAGCAGACAGTCCTGAGTTAAAATATCATAGACTACCTTGGGAGAAATATACAGGGAGAAAGGATCTATCCCGTTTGGAATAAGACAGAAAAGTACATTCCATTTGTTTCCTGCCACAGGAACTCTGGAAAGAGGCAGCAGCTCTGATGTGCTAGGATTTGGATTCCTGAAACATGGCCTAAATTGAGTATTCTTCCCCAGCTTCCCCAGCTACAAGAGGCTTTCCTACATAGAATGGGGTTGCCTGTTTTCTTATCTCTTTCCCAGGGAGTGTGAACTGTGTCTTATTCTTCCGTGTGCACATGATGCCTAATATAATGCCTGGGAAATAGGGCATATTCAAAAACTATTTGGTGAATGTTTATTAAGTAACATTAAGCATTAAGTAACAATATAACTTGGATGAATGGAGGTGAGGAAGCAGAATGCATTTCGTAAATACAGTGTTATTCATTCATTCATTCAACAAACACCAAATGACTATGATGAGCAGGCATCATGCTAGGTGCTAAGGGACAGTGTTAAGTACATTTTAATTGACACATTCAAAATATTACCTGGGATGATCAGCTCAGCTGTATTGTTTTCCTCAAGATTTAATCTCCGAAAAGTGCAGTAGAAAATCTCGTTAGCTGATGTGTTGACTCTCAATGTGCTGGTCACGTTGAAAAGCTGCTCCTCCCTGTTGGAACTGGTGATGGTGGTCTGGCCCCTCAGGACTTGATGGTCATTGCTTGTCCAGATGACTTCAGCCTTGGGGTAACCCTCAGCCTGACATGTTAGTTCGTGTTCAGAGGTGGCTGGGTCCATGGAAATTCTTTGGTTGATTTTGCGATACGGGGCTAGATCATGAGCAAAAAGAAGTCAGGGCTTTTGCATAGCACAGAACTAGACATGTGGCTTGGCATGGTCCACATTAGAAAAAATGTCAACGCAGGCTGGTTCTCAGAGAAATAAGCTTAATGTTCAGATGCCTCAGCAGCGGGGAACCTCTGCTAGTTCTGCCTCAACTCAGTTCAAAACTGGGTCAAGTTTGGGCTTAAAGGAGTGACTATCTTGCTATAAAAATCATGCCGGTATATTTATTGGGCTTAAAGTACACATAAAGATTAATTTAAAGAGAATTGTTATCTTTAAACCAGCAGCCTTTAATATAAAATATGTCTCTTCACTTATTTGAGTCTTCATATGTTTCTCAGTAAAGTGCTATAGTTTTTACATGGGCCCATTTCTTCTTAAATTTATTCCTTGGATATTTTCTTTTTGTTGTTGTAAAGCTGTCTTCATAAACACAAACCTCTTCGGCTGGCTGGCAGTACTGCTTTCTTAGACTTTATTTAATAAACAGAATATCTGATTTTGATTTGTCATTTACTTTTATGACTTTAAGTCAATGATCAGAAATTAGACATGAAAATATGTACTATTTTATTTGTAAAAATTGATCCATGTTCTTGGTGATACTTTTTAAAGTTTAAATGTATTTTTTCTTTTAGAATAGCTTTAGATATAGAAAAGTTGCAAAGACAGTACAGAATTACTGTATCCTCCATATCTAGTTTCCTCTGTTGTTAACATCTTATATTACCATGGTACAGTTGTCATAACTAAGGAACCAATATTAGTACATTATTATTAACTAAACTCCATAATTTATTCCATCCATCACCAGTTTATCCCTAATGTTCTTTTTCTTTTCTAGAGATTCCATCTAGAATACTACGTTATGATACTTATTTTTAAAATTTTTTAATGCTGGCTATTTGAACAAATCATGTAAGTAATTATTATACTCAAGGAAGAAAGTTTGATTATATTTTAGATAACTGGATGCTTTTATAGGATTAAGATACCCAGTTCGCTGACTATTCTAGTAGATTGCTTAGTGCATTATATACCATAAGGTCTTTATTTATGTTTGTTCATTACAAGTACATTAACATGTTATTTTGTTGGTATAATCTTTATTTTACTTCAAATACTTCAGAGTAACCACTAATGGTCCAGAACCTTAACTCTCCATTCCTTTACCAAATACACAACAATAGATTAGTAACATGATTTAGTCACAGAGATTTAACACAAAACAGCCAGGATCAAACAAAACTGAAATAAATAATGACATGATATTTTGGTACTCTTAAATTAATGAAACTACCATCAATGGAAACATTGGAATTCAACATAATTAGGATTTCAAAGCACACAAATAATATTATTAATACTCGAATCCTCAATCTTGCATCTGTCATGTTTAAGAATTATTTAAAAAGGAATCTACTGATTATACTTCATGGAATAAATATTTCATGAAGTAATATTACCATAATGGGGTGTAGTTCACTTGGTACATAGCTTGATTTCTGGGCAATTAAAATTTCAAGCCTAAAATCACCGTTAACGGTAAAATATTAAGGGTAAAATATTTGCTTATTTACCCACCTATTATCATTTCTAATGGAAGAAGAGTAAAGGAGAATGCTGTATCATATTGAGAAATATGTATAAATATGGTATACCTCTGGGTCCAATGAATGAGTGGATTTATTCCACAAGAATTGATTAAGTATCCACTATATTAGTCTCTAAAGTGGGGCACATACATGGGGTATAGGAAAAAATATTAAAACTTTCATATATGTGTTTTTATCATAACAATTAAGAAATAACTTTGGCCTAATAAGCCTTAGTGATTGACACTAGGTCACACTTTGTGTGCCACATAAGGGTCTTATAGGAAGATAAGAGTTTTACAACAGTGAAGGGAGGACAGTGACTCACTTTGGGGTATGATGGATTTTCAAATTCTCTTATCTAATTTTCACTAAACTAACCATCTTACAACATGAAAAATTAATTAGAAAATTTCCCTCAAAGAAACTGAGGATTGAAGACAACACTAATAATTCAAGCACAAACCAAAAAGAAATGACAGAATTTACACTTTTTATCAGCCTCTTATGAGGTTAAAAACAAGTACTTAATTGGACCTGACAAAGTGTTGGTTAAAAAACCTCAAGATTGGCTGGGCACGTTGGTTTAGGCCTATAATCCTAGAACTCTGGGAGGCTGAGGTGGGAGGATTGCTTGAGGTCAGGAGTTTGAGACCAGCCTGAGCAAGAGCGAAACCCCGTCTCTATTAAAAATAGAAAAATTAGCCGGACATTGTGGCATGCACCTGTAGTCAGTCCCAGCTACTCGGAAGGCTGAGGCAGGAGGATCGCTTGAGCCCAGGAGTTTGAGGTTGCAGTGGGCTATGATGACGCACTGCATTCTTCCTGGGGTGACAGAGTGAGACTCTGTCTCAAAAAAAAAAAAAATTAAAATAAAATAAAATAAACAAACCTCAAGATTATCGAGACCACCCACCTTTGTTAATAATGAATTTCACCCTAAGGTATATTATGCCTTGACATATTAGCTAATGATAGTGAAGCATCACAATTAGTAAGACATTAAAAATATTGTTTTTTAAATTTTTATTTCATCCTCTTAAAATGTCTATTTTTGTACATTTTTAGAATGTACAATATATTAGGTTGAACAAGATGAAATTGGTGATATTCAACTTCTCCTGACCTTCAAAATGGCAATTCTTTATGATACAATCTATATATTAGTAGAAAATAAATTCTTTATAATTATACACACACATGTGCATGAACACACACACTAGTTTAAAATGCTTTACAGATAGGGTGGGTAATGAAAAATTTTTGCAGACCTCTGGTTTACTAGATCTAGATCTGGTTTACTAGATCTAGAGCACCATGCTAATATTGGTCAATCAAGACCAAGAAAAGCTCATGATAGTTGTTTTTTGTTTTTTTTTTTTAATTTTTATTTTTTGTAGAGATATAATCTTGCTCTGTTGCCCAGGCTGGAGTGCAGTAGCATGATCATAGCTCATGCAGCCTCAAACTTTTGGGCTTGAGTGGTCCTCCCATCTCTGCTTCCCAAGTAGCCACCACACCCGGTTAATTTTTTATCGTTTTTTTTTTGCTATGTTGCCCAGGCTGGTCTTGAACTCCTGGTCTCAAGTGATCCTCCTGTCTTGGCCTCCCAAAGTGCTGGGATTGTAGGAGTGAGCCACTGCACCCAGCCTGCTCATGATTGTTCTGAAGTCAATATATAACTTGATACACATTCCAGAGGTACAAATACAGGCAGTAAAACATGGTTATTAAGGACACAGACTTCAGAGCCAGACTGCTTGGATTTAGAACCTGGCTTCACCATTCACTAGCTGGGTGAACTTGGGCAAATGACTTAATTTTTTTGGACATCAGTTTCCTCACCCTTAAAATGGTTAGAATAACACCACATATTATTGAATCAAAGATTCCATCTATTGAAGGACACACTCAGATTTCAGAGACAGTAAAATGTGAAAAACATTTATCTTAGACAGATGAAGCACCTACCCCATAGAGTCATTCTGAGGATTAAAAGAATTAATATAGGCAGAGTGCTTCATACAGGGCCAAACACAGAATGGTGCTACAGAAGTGTAGTAGTACTGGAGCTGCTCCTTCTCCTCCTCTTTTGACTACTACTGCTTAAGTGTAATCTTTTGGTATTCTTTAGAAAGTACTGACAGTTTCTGATGAACAGTCTTGGAAATGAACTTTCACATATCTAAACCTGTTTATGTTTCCAAAATTTGAGGCTAATCCTATTTGAGGGAATCATTCATTCGCTTATCCATTCAATAAATATTTTTTGTGTGCTCTTGTCACACTACTACTGTACTGTATGTCAAGCCCTAGGGATGCAACCATAAATAAAACAGACCCAAATCCCTGCCCTTGTAGACTTTATATTCTAGAAGGAAAGAGACAACAAACAAAATAGATAGGTACAGCTATATGATGTGCTACACAGCCTTCTGATTTCAAGATTCTTCTTTCTTAAGCACCAAAGCAGGCAAGAAAAGCTTCATCTTTCTCTGCTGCACCTCTTTTAAGAAAAGGATTTGTTCTGCAAAATTTGGATTCAGTCAAAAGGCCACACTTAAGGACCTAGAAGGCCACATTTCTTCTTAAGGCCACAGATTCCCCACCCCTTTCAGCTATACAATATCTTAGATAGGGATAAATGCTATAGAGAATACTTAAATAGGGCTGGGGAATTTGAGGGGAGAGATGGGATTGGGATGGAACGATAGCAGTTAATCTTTGGTCCATAGGCTCAAAATAGCTTTATCAGGATAACTATGCAACTTTTTGTTCTTTCAACTGCCTAATTCCATTTAAGATCCTGAAAGCATAAATGGACATTTCATTTTCCCTACTATTAGGTTCACTGATTAGGGGAAAACATTTTTTATTGAAAGTCAGATGCCTGATAGTCTGGTATTTAAACTATCAAACATGAAAGGTGCAATAACACCCAAAGTAATAATGATAACTGACTTAATACAAAACAAAACTCAAATTTCAGTTTCAAAATGCTTCACCCTTAAAGTCCCATGGTAGGTAAACTCCCTGGGGAGAAGCTGTGTTACCACACATTTGCAGTGATGGGAAGAAAAACTCTTACTGTGAAATCATTTGCATATGGAGGTGACTCAGGAGTTCTACTTCCTAAGTTGTAAAGCTCCTGCAAGCCAGGCACCATGTCTCCATTGGTGACAATGCCTCAGTGCAACTGAAGTTTGGTGGCTGCCTTGTTCTCAGTGCAGAAGGTCTAGCCTCTTGGTATAACTCAACTCAACTCCCAAGACCACATTATGCAAATGCCAACAAGATAGATTGGGACTAGGATGACAATTTTGTATATATTTGTATTATAACATAATACAAATCAGATCCTTAAACCTGGTTGGTCATCTGCTTTGCTTCATCAAGGACCCTCTCCTTGGAAAAACCTCATCAGTGCCAGAAGTTTTCCTATTGTGTTGAATGACAGCAAAGGAAACTGCAGATCCATAAGGGATATTATGGAGCCCAGATGACCTGGAAGAAACACTTCCCCAGTATAGGGACAGCTGTCCCCTCCTTGCATACTCACTATAGGCTGATGAGTGACCCTCTCTAGAAGCAGAAACTTGCACTCCATGCTTCTTTCTTCCTGATTGCCAGGATTATATTCTTCCCCTCCATCCCAGACCTAAAAATGCTAGCTGTTGATGAGGCTAAGGCTTGATAATTTCTTTAATGCCTTCAAACACAGCAGATGCCTGATATTTGCTGATGGACTAAAGAAAAGTTGAAAATGTAAATCACTACATCTGAAATTTCTTTCATGAGTGTCATGAATGGAGAAGCATATGGTAAGAAATACAGTGAAAGTTAAATCTACTTCACAAGTGACATTTTCTTGACAACAGTAGCATTAATTGAGCCAGAATCAAAGACTAATAATATACCATAAAATGGATGCATGTCTTCTAATCCCTACGTGATTTTGGTTTTGAGTTTATAATTATCAGTGATCCTGTATGATAAATGTAACCTTTTCTACTTGTATTATTGACCTTCAGATTGGTGGTCATTAGCCCAGGAATGAAAAGACCAAGGAGAGATGATTTACTTCTACTCAAATATTAAAAGGTCACCATGAAAACCAAAGAAGCAGGTAAGTAATCTCAAAACTATCACTAGAGAGGTCAGATTTCAGCTTAATATCAGGGAGTAATTTCAACAGGCTATGGAAGGGGTGTCCAAATGACAGGGATGCCACTGTCGGAAGTATATAAGCAGAAGAGACTTTGGGGGATTTTTGTTCTTTGTGGGAGTTTGGATTAGCTGCTCATACCTGGGGTCCTTTCCACTCTCAATCCTATGAAACTCAGTAGTGAAAGCAGAGGTGGCCAGTTAAGGTGTTTTCCTTTACTTATCTAGGGCCAACCCCAAACTTTGAAATCAAGTAACCTAGTGACATGTTTGTGGGTGAGTACCCAGGAATTAACACTCACAGTTCCTCTGCAATTATCCAAGGTAACACTGGTACACATTTTCAAGATGAATTTACACCTATTGAGCATAGCTTATGCCGTCTCTGAGGAAGAATGACTCCTTTACACGTACTAAGATTATTTTTTGTTTTCATAGATTGACTTCAAGTCTTTTTGAATGTGAACCTTACAATGGGATTTGTTCTTAATACATTTATATGGGTTTGACATAGAGAGGCTCAAAGGAAGGAAAATAGACAGAATGAAATAAAAAAATAGAAGTTGAATAAAAAAATTTCTGGAGGGACACACAAACAGTGGTTACTATCTTTTCACTCTATGGAAGATGGTGGTAAATGGAGGAGAAGCACTTTTGCAATTCATTTTATTCTCTTCCATAGTATCTGAATTATTTGCAAGTACTTGTATTACTTTTATAATAATAAAAAAGTAAAGACTAGGATTTTTTTTTTTTTTGAAAACCGAACATACTATAGAACATGTCTCTGTGTTGTTTGGTTCCAGATCTCCAGTGACTGTCAAATGGCAGGTGTTCCAGAAATGCTCAGTGTGTGAATGAGTGAATCAATGAATGAACGGATTGTGCTGTTCTGTCTGAAAGTAAATCTGGACTTTCAAGAATGAAAAGTTCTCAATACTCGGGATATCTTTTTAATAAAGGTCAGGCACTTTTATCTATAATAATTCTTACCATTGACTTTCAAAGTAATCCGCTTGTAGTCCGCACCCCCGTAGCTGATCATGCAGCGGTAAACTCCCGCATCCCGCAGTTTCACGTCTGTGATCTCAAGCGCAGCGCTTCCCAGGAAGAGCTGGTCCTTCAATAGCCGGGCCCTGTCACGGTAGCTACTGTCCTGGACCTTCAGGTCTTCCTCGCCACGGACAAATTGAATAATATTCTTATTGTCCATTTCCCAGTAGACAACTAACGAAATCAGGTCTAATTGTTTTTCTACTGGGAATCTGCATTCAATCGTCACATTGCTGCCATACTCCACCACATACAGGTCCTTAGGAACTGTGATAGTAAATGCTGAAAAGAAAGATGACCAGTCTTTAGAAGAGGGAAAATTCCTCAAAACAGTTACAAAATCAGGGTTTACAATAACTTTATCTGGTTCGTTATGTGATGATTGTATTTAAGGACTTACTTCATTAAAATACATCTTTTATCCAATGGGCTTGAAACATGTTTTGGGATGCTATATCTCATCCCTGACTTAGAATAATAAAATTAGCTAAACAAGTTGCCCCACAATTCACAAGCATATATTACTGTAGCAATATTATATTGTGATGGAAACCAAGGAGACTTGGTTTCAAGAAGACAACCCCAGAATGCCCTTTGACTAGACACCTATTTGCCTTCTACGTAGAGTGAATAGATTTGGGTAGTTATCTCTTCTTATTTCCCAACACTTTTGATCAATTCTCTCGCCAGAGGTCCATTGGTATGGAGTTTCGGCAGGGCCTAAGGATCGTGCTAATACTGTGATAACCTGACACTTTCTATGTTTACTAAAATTCTTCCTTAGAATATCCTCAACAGAAAAAGCAGGTCACAGAGCAACCTAGATTGAATAATCCAGACCTTATTTCAAACAAATAAATAAAAGTCTACATATAGGCCATTTCCTCAGATATTTTCAATAGTTAACCCTGGGAAACGGGTGATGGGTTAATTTTGTTTCTTTTGGTTTGTCTATATTCTCTATGTCATTACACAATGACACAGGTGACTTGTTTATGGAATACAGAAGGAAAAATAGAACGTTCTCTCTATAAGAAAATTATCTCCATTTAAAATTATCATTTTAGTTTTTAACTCATAGTTAAAATATTTAAAATCATAGAACTTAATGAAAGGATTTGGTGCCTTACCGTTCAGTAAATGCCAGTAGGCTGTGAATGTAAAGACGTTAAATATCTTCATCTTTCTGGAATGACCTAATTATGAGAAGCACACAAAAAAAGACTGCTTTACTCAATAATTAAACACACAATATGACAGTATGGAACTTAGAAGTTCTAATTGAAATGGCCTCCTAATAACCAGCCATGACTGACTTGTAAGTGTGGAAATGCAGTGAGGAATTTGGAAATGCAATACCTTCATTTAATAGCCCAGAATCAGGGGCCGGGCGTGGTGGCTCATGCCTGTAATCCTAGCTCTCTGGGAGGCCGAGGCGGGTGGATTGTTTGAGCTCAGGAGTTCGAAACCAGCCTGAGCAAGAGCGAGACCCCGTCTCTACTAAAAATAGAAAGAAATGAATCGAACGACTAAAAATATATAGGAAAAAATTAGCCGGGCATGGTGGCACATGCCTGTTGTCCCAGCTACTCGGGAGGCTGAGGCAGGAGGATCGCTTGAGCCCAGGAGTTTGAGGTTGCTGTGAGCTACGCTGATGCCACGGCACTCTAGCCCAGGCAACAGAGTGAGACTCTGTCTCAAAAAAAAAAAAAAAAAAAAAAAAAATAGCCCAGAATCATATAAAGCCAAGTGAAAAAAAGTTACTAAGATGTGAATTTTTAAAATTTAGTTACAGGCCCTGCAAAAACTTATAATATACACTCAAAAGAAGTCAGGAAGAAAATATTGCACCAAAATCCTCTCTCCTATTTCATGTTTTCTCTGCATTGTAACATATCTAGAAATCCAAACCCGCCCTGTCAAAATTTCAAAGCAAGGAGAATCTGACCTCCACTTCTCCAACCTCTCAATGCTTCTTTCTCCCTACAGATAAATACTTTCATCCTACTCTTTAACTATTCAAGACTCCACTTCACGATCCCAACCATGCCAGCTCTCCTCCAGGTGTCATCCTTCAAAATCTCCTCTTTTGCCTCTCACTTATTCAAAATCATAAATCCTATTTTCTCAGTAAACAGATTCTCCTAGTAACAGGAGGGAGTGGGAAGGAGAGAGAGTTGGATTTGGCCAATGCTTACTAAGAGATGAATGACTCACTGCCATTCTTCCAGAGGTATCTGCCTACATTCTATTCTTCCTTTTGTCATCCTGCTTGAAATTTGACTAATGCTTTCATTCAGCAAACATTGATTGAGCATCTCTCCCATGACAGGCACTATTGTAGGCACTGGGAATGCAGAAGTGAGCAGGAAAGAAAAGTCACTCTTCTCTTGGAGCTTATATTTAAGTAGGGGAGTTAAAGAAGATTTGTACTTATTTCAGCCAATCTATTTATTAACGTATTTTCTCTCTCTTGTGTTATACATATATTTACACACTTTGATGGAGAAGTCAGTTTTCTCTCTTTAGTGTCTCTCCAACCTCTATATACATACACAAACTCACAAATGATAAATTAATCAATGCTACACGTATATAAGACAGACAATGCTCCTAATATATAACGAGCTTCTAAAAGTCAATAAGAAAACTACACATGACCGAAAAGGAAAATAAGCAAAAGGTTCTAACATACAACTGACATGTAAACATAGGAAAGGATACTCAATATCACCAATAAAAATGTGTATATTTAAGATATGAGATACCATTTTCTACTTATTAGCTTGATCAAAATTATAAAGATTCTTAATATTTAGTGTTTGTGAGGATGTGGACAAATAGGCCTTCTTGCTAAGGGTAGGAATGTGAAGTTGTATAACTTCTTTGGGGAACTATTTGATAATCTCTATCAAAACTTTAAATGTATATGTCATAGGACCTTTCACTCTCTCTCCTAGAAATCTGTCCTACAAAAACAAAAACACATACATATAACTATATACATAAAGGGATGGAATTGCTAATAATAGCTCCAAACTGGGAATACCCTAAATGGCTAAATAAATTTTGGTGTATTCATGCAATATAATACTATTAAGGACAGAATTCAGTACATATATATGTATTGATTTTGCAAAGATGTAGAAAGTAAGTTTCAGAACAGTATATATAGCAGAAATCCACTTTTGTTAAAATAGAAGAAGAAAAATGTGTGTGTGTGTGGATGGCTGTGTCTTTAAACTCAGAAAATGTCCAAGATGCTGACAGTGATTATATTTATATTTAGGAGTTAAATTAGAAGGAGGATAGGCAGGTTTTTACCCCTTTTTAGTTTTAAAAGGACGGAAAAAAAAGATAGAAAGAAAAAGGTGAGATTGTGAATTAGTGTTTTTTGGTGTTTTAATGTGTTCAAATTTTCAAATGAATGAATGTTTTACCTTTCTTATTAGAAAAAAATGAAAACAAAATTTAACGAATCATTTTACCTTGCGAAGCTGGAGAGTGTTTGGCAGACCAAGTGGTACAATGTGAAGAAACCCCAGAATGGAGTCCAAACATCTGAACTGAGATGGAATAATGACATTCAGTTATTTTTATTTTT